AGGAACTTGACAGACAGGGCCACCTGTTAGAGACCTGTTCTCAGAAAAAACCCAGCAGGATCTCTGAATTGGTAAACACTCTCACACGTCACCCACATAGCTACTCCTATCCCAGCCCTGCAGGTGGGATTGGGCCTTATACAAGACCACAGACCTACATCCCTGCAGCTGCCTCAGTACCCTACCTCTCTCAAGGGCAGGCACCTTACATTCCCTAAAACACCCACCACCTCAAGCTGACCACTTCATCATGAGGAGCCAGTCTATCAGCATCCTGTCGGCCAACATTAGAGGTTTCATTACTAATGTTGGAGAGCTCACAGATAGCTTTGTGAACACTCGACGTCCAGACATGATAGCTGTTGTTGAAACTTTTTGGGGGAAGACAGGACTCCAGAAAATTTTGCAAGAATTGCTGGCTACACCTCATGGATGAGAAGAGACAGGCAAGGGCAAGGAGGTGGTGTTGCTGTGTGCTTCTCTAAAAGTGTTCATCCCCAGCACATAGATGTTGCCACCCCACACATCTTGAAATGATGTTCTTCAAGCTCTGTATAAACACTAGTACCTCTTTTACTAGCATGTGAAATGTACAGCCTCAGTGGCAACATGCAGACCCTATCAACTTCCTAATGGAAAATATTGACTCCCTTCTGCTACAACACAACTGTCAACTATTACAATTGTTGTGACCTCAACCAGCACCTTATACAGAGGGACTTTGATGACCTTCTTGCGTGTTTGACATGAGAAAACTTTGTTGATTTCCCTACTCATATCTCGGGCTCCTCCCTTGGGCCCAGTAGTGAGTGATCTGGCAGAAGGCATAGTCACTTGTCAACCCCTCGGCTACGTTGGATCGTCTGACCACAGGCTGTTTTTACCCAAAACTAAAATCCCCAAAAGAAAAGAGGGTGAGGAGTCCACACGCACAACCTGGCTATGGGAAAGAGGTAATTGGCCGCCCTTTGCTCTGAGCTCGCCCCCCGATGGGATGCTCTTCTCCCGGGGGATGTTGACAACCAAGTGAAACCTTCACTGACACATCTTATCTGCAACAAGAACACATTCCTCACGGCAATATTTTGACAAGCCTACAGTCAGCGTTGGTTGGCTTCGTTGTAGAGGGTGTACTGCTATGTACAAAGCATGGGGGAAGGGGATAAGAGACATCCTACCCCTATAACAGGAAATTGCACATGCAAGCCCGTAGGGATATGGGTGTGTTTAAAAATGGGCATTGCTAAATGGGGGGTGGACACTTTAAAGAAAGTTAGCACAGGTAGGGGAGGTCCAAACCTGTGGTCTGGTCAGGACAAGAAAGGATATTGCCTGAGAACTTATTCCACCTCTAAATCGACAGGAGGGACCACCTCTCTAGTGTCAAAAGAAGTCGGACCCCTTTGGTGAACACTTTGTACAAAATGCAGTTTTCCCGATCAGCAAGGGACCTCCTTGGCTGCTGCAAAAACTGTGTAAAATGTCATGGTGACAAAGCAGAGGAGTGCATTCCCCTTCTTAAATCCTTACCAGGAAAGGCTGTGGGCCACAAGTTGAGCCCAAGTTGTTGAGAAGATGTGCAGACGACTAGCAGCAACTCTAACTCGCCCTCTTTCAGCACTGCCTAGTACAGTGCAAATGGCCCTCTCCATGGAAAGAGCAAATGGGAGTCCTGTTCACAAAAAAAAAGGCAGAGAAAATCAGCAACTACCCGACCAGTGTACTCCCGTCAAAACACTGGTAAGATCCTTTAGACAATAATCTCAAGGGCAAATGACAGATTTTTTGACTACCACTCACTCTTTGTTCGCAATATGGCTTCAGGAAGGTTACTCGCTGTGTACTGTTGTTAAACCTCCACTAAGTGGCACCAGTCACTGGATGATCAAAGTCGCTGTGTGTAGCACTGGGGCTTGCTGGCGCTTTCGCGGGGGTTTGGGTCAGGGCTCTTAGCAAAACTTCAAGCCTGGGAATGGGGGCTCTACGCTATGTCTCCTCGTGATTACCTTCAAGGTAATCTCTAAGTGTAGTCCTCAATGGAAAGGAATCAGCAAGGCATTCTATTGGGCAAGCGTTCCACAAGGAAGTGTGCCCGGGGCCAGTTATGGAATGTCTACTTCAACGCCTTCTCATCTATCCCAGATCACATGCATATGCAGGCGACTGTACTGACATTCCATTATCCAAGAGAAGAAAGCCAGTGCTTAAATACATCAATCACCAGTGGAGCTTTTAGCTTGGGAAAGTGATGGCAAATAACTTGCACCTGAGAAAACGCAAATGAATCGTCTCTAGGCACCAGATGGTAATGCTGGTGCAGTAGTAAGGATGAATGGCGATGTTGGGACCTGGGGAAAAAGTTGAAAATCCTTGGGGTGAAATTTGACTCCAAAATAACCATGAAGACCATGTTGTAAATCTTGCAACAGGCAGCCAGGAAGCTTACAGCACTTTGCCGTATCCGCTCTGCTTGGTAGGGTTGCATCCTGTACGAGGCACAAGTACGCTCACACCCGAGGGATGCTCCCCTTTCTTGGTTTGCCTGCCCCCCTCTCATCTTTGGGCCCGCTTGACAGAGTTTGAGAACAGAGCAAGACGTCTCATCTCTCGCCTGGACCCATCCTGATAGATCTGTCATTTCAGCAGAGCCTTCAACATAAGATGTTTTGGGGTGGCCTTACTGTTATGTACAAGGCCAAAAATTGTCAAAATACCACACTTGGATCCACTTCGAGGACAGCGTGAAACAAGCTTTATGCCACAAGACGGGCGAAAGAGGAATCACTCTGCTGTACCCTTTCAGAACATCACTCATTGAGAATATTTCATACCGGAAACTCGGTATGGAACACATTCGTACAGCAAATGGGTGTCAACGAGATAACGTAGTTGATCAAATGAAAATGCTGGCCACAGAAAGGCTCCAACTTCAACCCGTTCCCCAATTGATGTTCATACAATAAAAATGCTTTCAAATGAGTGATGTAGGTAACAGCTCTAGTTGCCCAAAAAAGTTAGGAATCCTTAACCCGTTAAAAAGCTGCAATAAAGCTTGGGATCCCTTTAAATTGTCAAACCTGGTAAAAAAAAAAAAAAAAAAAAAAAAAGAGAGAGGAGGGAGGGATAGGGAGGGAGGGATAGAGTGAAACAGAGAGAGTATCTGCAGTAAGTTAAGATTACTAAATTAAGGTTTTAACCAAGCGGCATAATAAATATTTGGGATGTAATGTTGGAGAGAGTGTTTTAGAGGGCACAGGAGGAAGTTCTGCAATACCAAGGTTTTACGACTTTCTGAAATCTTGAAGTGAACTGCTTTTAAAATGTTTTAAGAGGGAAACAATTTTTAAGAATATGATATAAATATATACACAATTTCTCATACACAATTTGCAACAAAGTTATCGGTTAAGGTACGTTAAGACAGGTTAGGTTAGGATGTCCTCTGTTCACAAAATAATAAGCAATTATAAAATATGAAAAAAACAATTATAAAATACGAATTATAAGAATTATAATCAATTATAAAATACGAATTATAAAATACTATGCACCAATGCTCTCGCATAACAAGAACATTCTTATACTATGCAGAACATTCTTATACTATTCATCAATGTTCTTGCTATGCTCTCGCATAGCAAGAACATTGATGCATAGTATAAGAATCTAGATGTACATATTTTTTGACAAGCTATTAATTTTTATTGTAATTGCTAGAGTAAGAGTAAATACTAGAATGAGAGTAAGAGGAAGGTCGAGTTAAAGGGATTTGGTGCTACACTTTCTGAGTGTCACATGTGATTATCTTCAACTCTTCCATGCTTCAGGGATGAAACTAATCGCTTGACGTCGCTACATCTGAGTGGCTTCAAGCTTAATGTTCGTGTGTATTTTCGGATATTGGTCTTATTGGTCCCTGTGAAAGATTTGACCTAAACGAAAGAGGGATTTTGAAAAAGAAAGTTGATTCTTACGGTGTCGTAAGAATCAACTTCCTTTTTCACTTTCTACTCATCTGACTTGAATTTATTCTATTTCCTAATTTATTATTTACATTGAAGAAATTTGGATATTAGTTTCATATAGGGAAATGTGAATGCCTTTTCTCATTAGCGCCAAATCTTCAAAGTACGTATATACTTTACTGCAGTATCAACTTATGCCACACTCTGCACTATTCCAATCGTATGCATTGAAGCAGAGTGGGCTGAGGTTATGAAATGCAGGGATACCTTTCTCAGATCGCGCAGCGACCGAAATACTTCATTTACTAGGAAGGCACTAAACCAACAATGGCCAAACAGTACTTGTATAATGGAAAGCAACAGGGTTTCATCTAGGGAAGATGAGGTTCGGTCCCATTCCTTGGATCAAGAGCCCATCACCGGTATCAAGGGATCTTTCTTGATTTATATATTTGGATGTAGGAAGGGAATATCTTTTTGTGTAGTGTAATCGTGAAAATAATAATATTCCGCTTACCAGTAATATATTTTTTATCCAACATATTTATTATAATATATTCAACATTAATTTATTTAAATCAACACTATTCATGACATATTTTTAAGTTGCCATTTTCATGATAAATTATTAGTGGCATTGTCAATAATATCATTACAGTTAATAATCTATATATTATATAGATACCAGTGTAACAACTAATATGACTGATCGTAGAAGGTGTGTACCCTGTGTCCTTCCATATTCATAATTACCCACAACTCCCTGTGTGAGAGGTAGTTGCTATCAAGACCTTGTAAAGGCAGGGCTTCGGTTGGGCAGACGCATATATCTGTTATTAAATCGATACCAGAGCAAAGGACGCTTATTATTTGAGTCCATTACATTCCCCATCACACCCACAACAGCATATCCATTATTTAATTACAACTATCACGTCTTATTAACATTTCACTCACAACATATTTTTAAAGATGTAATAGATGTAATAATATGATTGATTACGTTCATGATAACTCAAATGCAAGCACACTCACCTAGGAGAGTCGTAGTCGAGGGAATGAGTATCACGGAACCAGGCGACGGCGCCTACATTGTCAGAATGGGTGTTGACGATGCAAGTGAGTCGGATGGTCGACCCCTTCTGTATGTATACCTCAGCTGGGCCCTCAATCCTTGCCTGCTGCACTATAACACATAAAAGCACAAACTTCATTGATAAATTTAAAAGATGAATGAAAAACTAGAAGAAATACAAAAGAAATAACATAACTTTTTTTTTCAATATTCTCATGTCTTTGCGATAATTGTGATATATTAGTGCATCTCTTGACACGTCTTCCCAGAGTAAATATCAAAACTTACTGTAAATATTCCTCTTGTTTTCCGTTACTAAGAAGGATCATAATCATTTTAATTATGATCCTTCTTAGTAACGGAAAACAAGAGGAATATTTACAGTAAGTTTTGATATTTACTCTGGGAAGACGTGTCAAGAGATGCACTAATATATCACAATTATCGCAAAGACATGAGAATATTGAAAAAAAAAGTTATGTTATTTCTTTTGTATTTCTTCTAGTTTTTCATTCATCTTTTAAATTAAAAAAATTAAAAAAGTACATCCTAGTTCAGTCTATTTGGGAATCCCAATACCATCGTAAACCTTGAAAATACTGGTAACAAACTGTAACTTTCGGGAAAGATGCATAAGTATTATAAGAAACATATCAAAAGTTCACTTGAATGGGACTTGGAATGATAAGTTTCTTGCTGTCATCATGTTGAATAGTTGTTTACCCTTTAGGTCACTTGGTGGTTGAGCGGCGACACAGTTGAAAAGAGCGGAGTGATGGGCATTGAAATCTGCTAGGACTGTAGGGACATTCCTACTAACTGAAAATTCGCCTTGTGCTAAATCAGGCTGTTAAAATGACGTTCAACATGACAGCTGCATTTTTTCTTCATATCTCTGCATTCAGACATGATAGAAATGCAGTGAAACCTCTAAACATAGGCTCTCAGATACAGCAACCCATTAAAAATATTTATTACAAGATTAAAAACATAAGCATCTTCATGTAATGTATATTATATTTGTTCCAGATGCATTGCTAAAGAATTATTGCAATATATACTATGCTTGTGTACACTGTTTCTCACTTCATATAATGGATATCCGTTGTGTATTGTACAAGAAAATGAGTTCGACTGACTTTGTAAATGTTGGACATTTACACATAAATCCTATGACTCATGTGTTGACGAGTATCAAGCGAGATGAGAGGCTTCAAGAGACACTGGAGAATACGCATACTCCAAAGGTTATGTTGTTTGCTGCAAAAAACTACACACGTGAAAACACGATTACAGCTGGAAAGAGATAATCATCAGCTAGTCTAGTACAAAAGAACGAAACCCCACGATGTGTTCAGGTGTTCCTCCAATAGATATTAATTGTGACTGTATATTCTGTGAATTAACTATAACTGTGGACAATAAAATCCCAATGTTCTAAGCAAAGTAGTAACTCTAGAATTACAAACGACTGTTTTGAATTATGCCAGAAATAAATACGATGAATGGGGAAATAACGTTGCAGAGAGCATTCAAAATGGTTTTGATTTAGTGGCAGCTGAGGCAAAATATCATTGCACTGGTGCAGAAGCATTTACCCGAAATATACACCAAAAGGAGAAATGCGTTGACAGTCCAAGTGATAAAGTACGAGAAGATGCATTCAAGAAGTTCTGCACATTCTTTAATGATAATGTGTTGCACGTTGTGTCATAACTCTTCGAATACATAGACACTTCATTAGATGGTCGAGAAGAATATTTAAGCGAGTATTTCAAGCAAATGCTTCAGGATTATTATGGTAAAGATATAAGAATAATAAGCAACACTGGAAAGCCGTCATCAGTTTTCGTGACTACACACAAACGAATGTGTGAGAAACAGATTACCAGTAAGGTAATGGATGAAGATAGTGAAACAGAAAGAATCACTGATAAAGCTACCTCAGTCATCCTTGAAGATATGACGTTGAAAGTCTATGATATATGTGAATACAGTTCTCTGGCAGACACATAAAATCAAGATACTTTGATATTTGATTCTCTGAACCGCTTCATGCACAATTTAGTGAGTCGAAAGGGAAAAATTCCATGGTTGTTAATGAGAATATACAGAAAGAGCACATTCCATAATTTTATCATGCAGATGGAACTCCTTCATATTACTATTGCTACTTGAAACAACAGTGTATATAGACAGCAAGTATACCTCGGGTGAATTGATCAACATTATGAGCAACATGAGCTTTGCACATGATTATAAAGAGGTTCAGCGGTTTGAAATTGCTTTCATATCCATTGGTGAAGCCTCATATGTCTTAGGAGGTTTTACTAAGGTTGTGTTTAAAAATGTGTGTGTTACTGGTCACAACTCTTTCCATCCTATGGGTAGCAACACTTGTGTATCCCCCGATGGAACTGTGACTAGGCCACAGATACGCCGCACGTCACACCACCATTACTTGAAGTTAGCAAGTTTGGACGTATTCCAGTACAGACGTACAGCAAATTGGCTCTTATTGGGCTGCAGTTTGTGGTAACAGAAACATTTAAGATTCCTAACATCCCATGTGTCGACTCCGTAACGTTTCTAGACTTTTTCAGGGTTGTTGACTCTTTTGAATCATTCCAACCACCTTCGTGGAATGACATGTATGAGGAAACCTGAATAGAAACATCTACTTCATAAATTTTGACCCTACTAATATAATTACTAGTTATAGTGCGATATGCTATGCATACACTCACACACACACACACAGTGTGACAAGCATGACCTGCGACTATGCCCAGTTACATAAAGGCTGTAGAAACAATGACTACTACTCAAAATTTAGACAGAGCTGTGATGTGTCTAGGTGGATTCCAACTCAGAAGCATTAGGCAAGCAGGGCTATGGAAATGAGTTTACCCAATAGAGAAGTAAGTTACATATTAACCGGTCCTTTTTTTTCAAGTGCACTTCAAGCTCACATTTTTACCTTATTAAAGAAACCTGGCTGCATGGACAACATAGACAATGTTTACTTAGGTAGCCTTTGCAGAGCTTTTCCTAGCCTGTAGCAAAATACCACTGATGCAACTGATGAGAAATGCGTCAAACAGATAAGTCAGATGATTTCACAACTTCTAGACCAAGTTGCAAATCACAGCAGACCTGGGATGCTCATGGTACAGTATATCCGATAAGTGGTCCTCCTGTAACACTTCACACCTGATGAAAGAACAGGAGACTGGAGAATGTATCTATTGTGTGTGAGGAATATGATTCCTCATTTTCACGTTCTTGGGCATTTATCTTATGACAAATCTGCCCAGTTGTATCTACAACAAATGGAAGCAATCAGAGCAAACTTTTTCGGTATATAAATAGACACTATTTACAATAAAGGCTACTTCGTCATTAATCGTCTAGATAATTTTGAGGTGGAAAATTCATCGACAAGATCATCTAATGTTTAAAGATTCGGATGCCTAAAACATCTGGAGACATGACTCATTCTTGAAAGGATATCACTGACAGTGAATTAACAAAGGGTCCATGCACTTCCTCAACGTGTTCATATGTATGATGCAATGGAGACCTTCACAAAGGTTCCCACTCTTACCTGAGAACAACATAAACACCTGCGCTCAAGTATACAGTCAAAGGACAACAGGAATCGTCTCTTCTTTGTTCAGTGGCTGAAAGCACATACACCATTTCTTCGATTTAACCCAGACAGCCTTTGACAGATGGCATTGTTGCAGATACATCTGTGAACTGTGATGATACTGTCGAAATTGGTGTTGCAGAAATGTCACCCGGACGAAAACCGTTCACAGATTTTGCGCTACACAGTGAAAACAAAGTAATGATCATTGGTGCCAACACTAATATAAACCCTAAGTGTATTTCTGCTTATGGGTGACATAGTTGTACAGCAGGATGAAGCAGACGCAGACACACTGTCTCAACAGCTTTTGCTAGACAGAGTCAGAAGATCTACCTGTTGTTGTTAGGACAGACACTGACTCACAGGTCATGATGGAGGCTAGAGACACAACTATCGATATGTACTCGTTAGGTAGCAACAGTCTCCACTAACACTGCACAGCTTACGTCAAATTCAGGATGCCACTGGAGACGCCATATCTGGCTGAGATACAATATCTACAATTTATCGTCAGGGAAACGCAAAGATTTTAACATTGTACAAAAGAAATGATTGTCACATGCTAGACATGCTCACAAAACCCGGAAGCACTCATGATGAGTTGCAACACGAAGGAAAAAAAGACTCATTCGTAAAGTGTGTGGCGATAGCACCTACAAAACACTCGATAAGTATCTCTTTGTTGCATACAAACGGACAATCCAGCGAGACTTTTATTTTAACATTTAATCTAGCTAAGTAACATTCGTATTGCACGTATTTTACGGTTCAACAATGTAGGGATAATTCTAATATCACAGGATTAATATACAAGAGGAAACAGAACTTCACGTTGCCTCTTACAGCCTTCTCAACATTGGTTCATGTTGATGCGAAGCTGAGAGTCGTGACATGGTATGTGGGTGGAGAAATTTGTACTGTTTTCCTCCTTAGTGTGCAGTAAATACAAGTCAAAGGTGCCATAACAGCAAACCATCATTGTCTGATGCTTCTGATAAAGAAACTGCTCCTACATTAGTGGATATGGATAATGATATCCATAACTGCGATGCACCAGAATACTGAAACTTTGTATCTTTAAATTAATTTATTAAGGATATAATTGCATAAAGAACATTATGAAGGCGTTTAACTGAAAGTCACTAAGTCACACATTATGTTTGTTTGATTAGGTTTTCAAGCCATATGAACCGCCTTATTATTTTTCATTGAATTGTTGTATTAACAATTTCACCAGATTGCAAGTAAGGTAAAATCTATGTTAGATACTCTCATTGCATTACTGCCATGTAGGAATGCAAAGATATGAAAAAGTTAGATGGATTTAGGTAGCTGCGCGATCCCAGAAAGGTATCCCTATATTTCACAAACCCATTCTCCTCTACCTCAATGTAAGCTCAAGGAATATAAAAGATGGTCATAAAATTTCATTGCAGTAAAATATAAAAATATGTATGTGTGTCAATATGTTTGTGTTTGTGTGTGTGTGTTTCTGCGCGTATGTCGACTTTTACATGTCAATATATATCTGAGTTTCTTATAGACCGATGATCTGGTATTTTAACACCAAAATAATGAAACAAAGAATATTATTATTATTATTATTATTATTATTATTATTATTATTAGTAGTAGTAGTAGTAGTAGTAGTAGTAGTAGTAGTAGTAGTAACAGTAGTAATAGAAGTAGTAGTGGAATTAGTAGTAGTAGTAGTAGTAGTAGTAGTAGTAGTAGCAGCAGCAGTAGTAAAAGTAGCAGGAGTAGGAGTAATTATAATAGTAGTGGTGGTAGTAGTATTAGTAGTAGTGGCGGTAGTGGCAATAGTAGCAGCAGCAGCAGCGGTAGAAGTAGTAGGAGTAGAAATAATAATAATAGTAGTAGTAGCATTATTATTATAAGTGTTTTACAGTTTTTAATACTAATAACATTTAAAGAAATAAATTATTTTCCATAGAAATTCCAAGCAATGTAAAGGTCAGACATGCATGAGGAGGCTAAAAAGAGTGTGCAACTATGTATTATCTGGTTTATGTATATAAACCGGTATAAAAAAAAACATAGACAATGCAATTTCCTCTGGGTAGACTGAAATTTTATTCATGGCCGAGCTATTAAATGCATAATTAACTCTATTCTGATATTGGCATGTAAAACATTTTTCATAAAATATTTAATTCCTTGTTATTAGTTGTAATAATACCTTTTTTGTTTACACTTATAATTCCACAAATGTTATTGTTGAAGCGTTGTTATATTATTTCCGTTCGTTTTACCATTTACAGTTGTTTTTGTCATCAAACACGATGGTATAATAAAGTACAACACTGTACGATACTTTCAGGTTTATTTTTTCTTATAGTTCTGATCATAATATTAATAGAATTCTCTAATCATTTAAGAATACCGTCCGACAGAATATGGTTTAAAAACTACCTGCTAAAACCCAGATTCACGTTATTGTTGTGATCTGAGGCAGCGGATGTCAGGGGATCTGCCCAAATGACTGTCATTTACTAGGTTACGTGATTTCCAAGAATGTGACGTGAATTTTACTGTTGATCGGCAGAGAGGGTGGGATGCAAATCTCTCTCCCCTTCCCTATCTTCTTTTTGCAAGAATAAAGAAGACCCTTCAGATCACTGTCATTTATAGGTAGAATGGTAGGAGCTAGGGTGATGATGTGTTCATCATGCTAGTTGCCAGGATGATGAGAAAGATTTCTCCTCCGATCCATCACTTTAATAAACAGGAACATTCCCTTATTACCCTTCACATCCATCAGAATGGGTATGATCTTTCCTTCCTATCTTCCACACTGAGTAGGATAGGTAGGAACCTTAACTCCTTACCTGCGTCCCCCATCATCATGTTTTCCCTCTGCACCCAGCAGACTGGGAAAAACTCTCTCTACTTACCTTCCACACCGAGAACGATGGGCAGGGATACTTTAGGGCTGGTGGAGACCTGACACTCGTACACACCAGCATCCCTGAAGGTGACGGGGATAATCTCCAGGTCCCACTGCTCCGTGTCTGGTGGGTGGTATACCTGGCGGTATGCAGGTCACGAAAAAATTAATAAAACAAATTAGGTTACCTGAACGTGTGTGTGTGTGTGTGTGTGTGTTTGTGTGTGTGTGTGTGTGTTTGTGTGTGTGTGTGTGTGTGTGTGTGTGTGTTTGTGTGTGTGTGTGTGTGTGTGTGTGTGTATGTGTGTGTTTGTGTGTGTGTGAGTGTACTCACCTTCTTGTATTCACCTAGTTGTGGTTGCAAGGGTCGAATCAAAACTCCTGGCTCCGCCTCTTCACTGGCCGCTACTAGGTCACACTTCCTGCTCCATGAGCTTTATCATACCTCTTCTTAAAGCTATGTATAGATTCTGCCTTCACTACATCTCTTCCCAGACTATTCTGCTTCCTGACAACTCTGTGATGAATGGTTTGAAAAACCGACAAGTTGAAGATTGAGACACTTATACAGCATATGGGAATCTTTATTCAGGAAACGTTTCGCCACACAGTGGCTTCATCAGTCCAATACAAAGAGGAAGGCGTAAGGAGAGGAGGAGTATGAGGTAATCAGTCCCTCAGCCTGGAGTCGATGTGTTCAGTCCATTCTACAAGATTGATGGACTGAACACATCGACTCCAGACAACTCTGTGACAGAAGAAATACTTCCTAACATCCCTGTGATTCATCTAAGTCTTCAACTTCCAATTGTGATCCCTTGTTGCTGTGTCCCATTTCTGGAACATCCTGTCTATGTCCACCTTGTCGTTATCATATCCCCTCTATCTCTCCTGTCTTCCAGTGTCGTCGGGTCGATTTCCCTTAACCTTTCCTCGTAGGACATACCCCTTAGCTCCGGGACTAGTCTTGTTGCAAGCCTTTGCACATTCTCTAGCTTCCTTACATGCTTGGCTAGGTGTGGATTCCAAACTGGTGCTGCATACTCCAATATGGACCTAACGTACACAGTGTACAGGGTCCTGAACGGTTCCTTACTAAGATGTCGCCATGCAGTTCCTAGGTTTGCTAGGCGCCCGTATGCTGCAGCAATTATTTGGTTGATGTGCGCCTCCGGAAATGTGCCCGGTGTTATACTCACCCCAAGATTCTTTTCCTTGAGTGAGGTTTGTAGTCTCTGGCCCCCTAGGCTGTACTCCGCGTACGGTCTTCTTTGCCCTTTCTCAATCATGATTTTGCATTTGGTGGGGCTGAACTCCAGGAGCCAGTGCTGGACCACGCCTGCAGCCTGTCCAGATCGCCCAGATCTCTCTCTAGTTTTGCCTGGTCCTTGTCCGACTGAACTCTTCTCATCAACTTCACATCATCTGCAAACAGGGGCACTTCGGAGTCTATTCCTTCCGTCATGTCGTTCACAAATATCAGAAACAGCACCGGTCCCAAGACTGACCCCTATGGATCCCCGCTCGTTACAGGTGCCCACTCTGACACCTCGGCACTCCCCATGACTTGCTGTTGTCTTCCTGACAGAAATTCCTTGATCCATTGTAGTGCCTTCCCTGTTATCCCTGTCTGGTCCTCCAGCTTTTGCACTAATCACTTGTGTGGAACTGTGTCAAACGCCTTCTTACAATCCAAGAAAATGCAGTCTACCCACCCCTCTCCCTCTCTTGCCTTACTGCTGTCTCCTTGTTATAGAACGCCAATAGGTTTGTGACACAGGATTTCCCGTCCTTAAACCTGTGCTGGCTGTCGTTTATAAGCTCGTTCCTTTCTAGGTGCTCCACCACTCTTCTGATAATCTCCACGACTTTGGGACTACATTTGCTGCCTTCCATACCTCAGGTAGTCGCCCTGTTTCGATAGATGTGTTGAAGATTGTTGTTAGTGGTATACATAGCGCCTGTGCTCCCTCTCTCACAAAACCCATGGAAAGATGTCATTCGGCCCCATCGCCTTTGAGGTATCTAGCTCGCTTAGCAGCCTCTTCACTTCTTCCTTGGTTGTATGTATTGTGTCCAACACAAGGCATACAATGTCTTTGTCTTTCTGGAGTCCCTTCTGTCTCCACTGTGAAGACTTCTTTGAATCTCATGTTGAGCTCCTCACATACTTCGCAGTCGTGTATGTGTGTGTGTGTGTGTGTGTGTGTGTGTGTGTGTGTGTGTGTGTGTGTGTGTGTGTGTGTGTGTGTGCGTGTATGTTTTCAAAGAATACTAGTTACTTCATCTTGCATGCAGTTAACCTTGTAGCTGAGATGTGAACCCATGTTAGAAATACGTGGCCTTTTCCGGAAATAACAAAGTGCTCACAACTTAAAAAAAAGAAATGATGAGGGAAAACTCAGCAAACTGTAATGCGTACAAAAACGCCTATCCTATTCAGATACAAGTTTATATATATCTACCAACCATTCTAATTTCCTCTCTTCTAAATGGATAAAAAACAGACTCAGCCATCTCTTGGGGAAAAGAGAGGTAATTAAAAGTGAATCAAAAGTGGTGAGAGTCGCCTTATTGAACATTATATTAAATTTAAGAGAGAATACTCAAAAAAAGAAATAAGAAAAGCCAAAAGAGAATATGAAATTAAGGTTGTGCGGGATTAAGGATTAATCCCAAGAGTTTTTTCCAGTAATATATGAATGAGATTAGGGAACAATGTCTCACATAAAAGTAATTCAGGTCTATTGTGTACCACCAGCATGTGTACCATTTGTAACACTTATTTCCACTGTTTTTAAACAGGAGGAAAGTTACAAAATTCCAAAAATCAATAATTATGATGATCAAGGCGAAAATAAATTATGCAATATTAAATGTTGAGTTGTTTTCCAAGTGTTCTAAAGATAAATAAGAAGGATATTATTATTATTATTATTATAATCAAGGGGGAAGCGCTAAACCCGTAGGATTATACAGCGCCTGTGGGGAAGGGATGGAAGGTATTCAGGCTTAATACAAGGAACTTGAGCACAGATCCAATTCTCTAGATTAAGAGCCTCTCACCAGCATCAAGGAACCTTCCTTGAGGGGTAGTTAGAAGGAACTTTTCAAACCCTTAACCGATCTCTTTGAATGATCACTAAAAACGGGTAGGATTTTTCAAACTATTTCCTTACAACTAAAATTAAAATATTTTGACTAAAAATCCTTTATCTTAGAATTCGAAGACCTAATCTCTTACATTTTATTGTATTGATCAATTATTTTTTAAAAATATGTGAAATATCAGCACCAGATAAATGGAAACTGAAAAAAGTTCTACCTAATTCCAAAACTGGAGACAGTTCCTTAGCTTCAGACTCTAAGCCAATCAGTCTAACCTATAGTGGGAAGACGTTAATGGAATCAGTAACTGTTGATGCAGTTCGAAGCCACCTTGAAAGATATAATTTGATCAACTAATCTCAGCACGGTTTCACAAAGGAGCGTTTCTGCCTTACGAATTTACTAAGTAATTTCACTAAGGTACTCCAAGAGTTAAACGACGATAAAGAATACAAAATTGTGTATATGGATTCCAATAAGACTTAACAAAGTCCACAGAGGAGACTGATTAAGAAAGTAGCTGCACGTGGAAAAAGATAAATTATTTCTTGGGTCGAAGCATGGCTCATTGACAGAAAACAGAAATTTTGCATTAATGGGCAGAAATCAGAAGAGAGACCTATTACGAGCGGTGTGCCACTGGCTAATTAGTAGGGGGACCTTTGTTTTTCACACTCTATATAATTGACATTAATTCAGTTTGTGGTTGTAGAAGTGGCAGATACAGTTCAGTGCACACAAGTGTAAGGTTCTAATCCTGAGAAAATGAAATAATTATGGCTCTCCTATGCTAAACAATGTAGATTTTAGTCAAAATGAATGTGAGAAAGAGCTAGCAGTTCTGTCTGAGTGTTTGGAATAAATGTTATAGAATTCTTGGCTTCAAATAAAGAATTATCAAAAAAAAGAAGCAAAAAGAATATATTTCATTGTATTTTAAGTTAAACCTCATTAGACTATGCTGCTCTGTTCTGGTCTCCAAGTTACAAGATGGACTTAAATTAGTACTGGATAATACATAGAAAAGGATGGAAAAGCTGATTGCATGTATTAGAAACCTTTATTACAAAAAATAGGCCGAAGGGACTGACTGAACTTGCACTCTTTGGAAAGATATACCATTAATGTAGATACGACTGAAGCGTTCAAATAAAAAACAGGAATGAATAAATGGAAAAAAAAATTGTGTCTTGAAAATATCTAACCAAGACAAGACTATTAGCAATGGATTCAAGTTAGAGAATTTTTTATTTATTAAGGAGATTGGGAAGTACTAGTTTGGCAGAAGAGTTGTAGACGAGTGGAACAAACTCGTAGCTTTAAATATACTATTGGATGAAGATGTACATGAGTGGAAGTGGATGAGTGAGTTTGACCTGCCTAGCATGGCAAGTAGGCATAATGCTGTGTACGTTCGATCTTTCGTTTCTGTTCTGTCTGTCTGTCTGTCTGTCTGTCTGTCTGTCTGTCTCTCTCTCTCTCTCTCTCTCTCTCTCTCTCTCTCCCTTCCTCCATACCTCAGGCTGAAGTGGGGTATTAGCCCACATGATATATCTAATATCACAGGTATATCATAGATGTCGAGTCTAGGTTGACATCCCAAACCATACCACAATTTCGTGAGTCAAGTTAGGTTGACATCTTAAGTTTTAGAGCGATGTACCCCTAAACTATCGATATCCAGTAAAGTTGGATCGGTTGGCATATGGAATACTTTCATTATTTTACTGCATCATATATGCCACTATATTCGTTGTTTCATAGTTTTACAAAGAAATTTGGGCGAGTTCAGTCCGGAAGCCTGCCAACGACGCTGCTACCTAGGTGCGGGTCGCATCAGATCAAGTCATGTATGTAGTGTAGGCCGAGATAAAACGAAGGAAGTCACGTGATACTTGGGGAACGTTTGCTGATATTTGGGCACGTGATGTATGCATTTAATGGGAGGTTACGACTGGCTCAGAGAAAAAGATAGGTTCAGGTCGGAATTTACGTGGGTTACGCACGAGAGTCCTGGCGTATGGAATGTCAC